GAGGCGGCAGCTGCAGGCAGCGCAGCCGCGGGCAGAGAGGCGGCAGCTGCAGGTAGCGCAGCCGCGGGCAGAGAGGCGGCCTGGACAGGCGATGCAGCGGCGGTGTCATCCCAGGCGGGGAGTAAGGAGCAAGCCCCCAAGAGCAGCGTCGGGGCGGCTGCTTCTCCTTTCCCCTTCCGCTTCTTTTTTTTCTTGCGGCTGGGGCATGTCGCTTGCGGCGGGGTAACCTCGGAGACGGCGAGCGGCCGAAGCCGCTTCTCCGTCACCCTGTCGACGAGCTGTCGGAGGTTCTCGCGAACCTCCGCCATGACAGGTGCCGCCGTGAGTGGGGTTACCTCCTGAAGGAGGGTCCCGCTTTTGCTGGCTAAGGCCAGTAGTCCGGAGTCCTCCCGGACCTCCGGCTGGTGGAGCCAGTAGATGACCTCCTGCAGCAGGTCGACGCGTTGATCGTCGACCTGCGGAGGTGCGTTGGGGAGATCCGTCATTCTGTTGTGGTAGGTGAGCGAGCGAACCGGGAAGCAGGCGAAGCAAGCCGAGAGTGCAGGCAAACGGGGTTTATTCCGGACAACAGGGTAGAGAAACCAACAAACATCAATGACGGATCTGGGGTAACAGACTCAGACGCGGACTAAATACAGCAGACAAGCCAAACTAACAAGGAACAGCTGGGCACGATCGGGAAAGCACACGTGGATAAGGAGGGGGCGTGGCACACATCAGGAGCGGACGGAGCAGGGCGTGACACCTGCCTGCTCTGTCCTGCCCTGCTCCTCTATCGACTACGTGTCCCTTCCCCTCGTTGTCTTGTCCCGTCACTCCGTGTAGGACTGACTTCTCTGGACATCAACCCTTTGCCTGCTCTACAACCACGATCTCGCCTGCTCCCTCTAACTTTGATTGCTGTCTGTTGGAGTATTAAACCTGTTGCACACTGCATTCCGGGGTCTGTCTCCTCTGTCACGACCGACCGTCACACTAACACTGTAAACTAATAATCGTAAATTTAAACCACTACATAAACTAAACATTATGTTCCTATAATACTAAAGCTTTTATGCTACGCTCCAGCTTCACGGCTACCCCGAAGACTTCAAATTACACTAAATTATAATAATATGAAACAATCTGTTACATTTGACATCAGTTTAATTTAAATCGATCTGAACTCCACATACTGTACTAAACAGCATGAGCCCTTTTTCTTTATTTCTGCCCCCCACAATTCTTCCCCCACCCTTCTTCTCTGTCTCCCCTAACCTCTGCTTGTTGTCTTTGTTACATAAAAAAGGAGAAAAAAAGCTTGCATTGGAAATTAAAAATAAAGCAGTCCTCCGTAGAGGGGGGGTGGTGGAGGGAATATAAAAAAAGAAGAAAAAAGAACGAAACAATGATTCAATGAATTGAATCATTCCAGCGAACTGAGCGAAATGAATCAAATCACAAATAAGATTCGGATTGCACATCACTACCCACACTGCAGTGATGTTCTTGGTTTGTTCTTTGTTATAAATAAAGCTTTAAAAATTATTGGCCAATGGGCCATTCATTCAAAGACGGAGGCGCACAAGTATAGCATACTTTTTAATCTTAATTCAGCTATATAAATATCAATCTGAACAGGAAATGAACTGTGATGATCTTCAAGAGCATTTATAAAGAATTGTAAATACTTACAAACTGTAATGTGTGTTTTGTTTTTCCAGTCACACACTCCCTGCAGTATGTCTACAGCGGTTCATCAGGGATACCAAACCTCCCAGAGTTTATGACCGTGGGGCTGGTGGACGGGGAGCCCATCACTTACTATGACAGTAACATACGCAGAGAGGTTCCTCGTCAGGAATGGATGGCAAAAGCTGTGGATCCTGATTACTGGAACAGGAACACTCAGGTCTCCATGGATACAGAGCCGGTGTTCAAAACCAACATAGAAGTGGCAAAGCAGCGTTTCAACCAAACCGGAGGTAAGTGCTGCATGTTTATGACAGTGACCCTGACAGTGTGACATGTTTGTCATCTGAACGCTCTGCTCAAGCTGAACATATTAAAGCAGCACAGAGCCAAACACACAGTTATAGGGTAACATTCCATAGTACTTATATTTACAGGCTGCGTTTATTTAGCTGATGGTCAATGACACACACACACACACACACACACACACACTGACACACAGATTCACGCACACACAGTGTGCACCAGGAATTGCGCGTCTCACAGACACAGAGGTTTAACTGCTGATAAACTACTGAAAGCTGTTTTAGGGCAACACTCCACATTTTTACTTATGTGGGCTGCACATGTTTAGCTGATGACTTTATTTACAGTGATTTATTCTTACATGAGAGAAAAAATAAAATGACAGAAAAATAAGAATTCTGTTAATGTGCTTTTACACACTGATCCGCAGTCACACCGTCCAGTAACTCACTAGATACACTGGTACGTAGCTTCAGCAGGGGAATCAATACTGAGGCTGTTTATTTGTCTTTTTTATATCAAGGTACAGTTGTTTTTAAACAAGGTGTTTAGAAACACTTGTGATCAGACACACTTAAATCCTCAGCCTTTTGTGCTGTGTGTGTGTGCTGTGATGTCGATTTTTACTCCTTTTCCAGCTCGTGTGTGAATTTAATGTCACAGTTAAAAAGGCCTGAAAGCTGCAGTGTACATGCAGGATGCTGAGAGTGAGGAGCTGCTGACAGACCTGTTTGAAATCCTGTGAAAATGACGCCCAGAGGATGAAACCGTATCAAACCTGCCTGCTAATTCTCTCCTCTTTCTGTTCAGGTATCCACACAGTTCAGCAGATGTACGGCTGTGACTGGGATGATGAAA